TGCACAACCTGGAGGCAGGACAAAGCAACACAACAAAGTTGTGAGGCCAATAAAAATTGTTAGATAGGTCCTGTCCTGGAGGTAAAGATAATATGACCTAAGGACAATGATGGAGTGACTTGGAAAGGCCATGGAAGCCATTGAAGTGGCTAAATTGATCCTCCCCAAGGTTGTAATAATGTGACTTAAGGGTAATAACATGATTTTGCATCAGAAACGAAGAAAGCCTAACCCAAGATAATGATGTAGTATTGGCCCCAAAGAGCATCACTCAACACGACATCTTCGAGATGTCTAAATTTTCTTTACAGGAGATAGGTTAAGCCATTAGAATGTTCTATATAGAAATTTACCCTCTTGCAAAATATTTTTTATTATTAGATGTTTTCTTATCGATTTCTTCTTTTTGTGATGACTTCTTTTTTTTTATAAGATTTCTTATAGCTACATCCCTTAGTTTTAATTACCTCTTTTATGAAGGAGAGAACTTTCAATAAGGCTAACAAAATAAGCCTCTCATGGATTTATCATTTTAATGACTCATTGAGTCTATTGGATCAAGAAAAGATCCACTTTTACATTTGAAGGGAGTTCATTTAAGAATTAATAACTCGGTCTATTGAGATCTTATGATTTGTCTTCTTGGGTGGTCATTCACTAGTTTATTTAGTCAACCTCAGCAATTAACCTAACTTAACTCAAAGATTCTTGCCGATAATCATAAATTTCTTAGTCAAAGGAGAGTTCATAAATCGTGGGTGAGGGCTAGCTTAGTGGCTAATCTCAATCTGGTTTAGGCTAATAAAGGTATTTATGCCCTTTTAGATGCATCCGGAACAAGAAGCTCAAATGCATGTTATCTTAAACATATAAACTTCGATTATAATCATAATGTGGTGACTTAATCATAATTTGGATTACTATGTAGCTAGGGACACATGTCACATGTTTAATAATATAGAATTATTATTTGGTTTGTTTGGCAACATTAAACGAAATTTGCTCATTTGTGGGTTTGAGTTGAATTTAAGTTGACATTTTTAGTTAACTTAGGGGTTGTGTGGGGTGGCTGCATATTTTAAAAATATGGTTGTAAAGCTATGGTAAAGTTTTTCTACTTCTTAGAAAGTTGTTTTGAGAATTATAAATATATATTTTTTCCAAAAAAATCAGACAATGGTTTTTTTATAGTTATCGCAGTTTAACGAATCATGTTGAAATAATCGGTTTACCACCACAAAAATTTCTAAAAATCAACAATAAAGTAATCATCAAATAGAACTGTGGTGATGATCTGAAATGCAAAACATATATAAAATCGTCCCAAACAGACAATTAGTGTTGAATGGAGTTTGCTTTTAAGTATGAATTGATTAATATATATATATAGTTAGTTAGTTAGGTTTTGTATTTTTTTTTTAATTATTTTTAGATTTCAATTTAACATTTTTCAAGTGTGAATCCCAAGAGTCTGATGAGGGCATGAAAGCAGTCATGGTCTCTTTCAATAAAAAAGCTCCAACAATGTCTCCTAACTGTAGATCCTACAAGCCATCCATAAGAGAAGAGGTAAGAAGTTGGGGTTTTTGTCTAATTTTAAGATGAAAATAGATGTGTCAATCACATAATCGACCAGAGATGTATCTACTTCGACAGTAGTCAGTGGAATGGGGCTATAACATCTGTAGAGACGATGTACTGGAACCCTCTAGTATAATCTTTAGAGGTGGAGTAGGGGGGTCATGGATGCAAGTATTGCAACTAGATGAGTAGATATTTGAAGTTTACGGTATAAAAATATCTATCTTCATGGAGGACAGAAGGGGGTGGTTTTGTTCAAAGCTTAGTAAGAAGGTTGAGTGTTTGAGCTTGGTTACTTTGTGAAGAGAGAAACTTTCATCCGAAAATAAAATTTAAGCACGAGAGAGAGAGAGAGAGAGAGAGAGAGGAGGAGTCAAATAATCAAAACTGAGATGGCATGCTGATATTTTCTAGTGGTGGAAGTGTCAAGTGGCATCACTTGAGTGGGCGAGATGATTAGTGACGATTGTTGTAATGTTAAGCCCAAATGTGGAATATTCAGAGATTTAAAGAAAGAGCTCAATTGGATGTGATTGGAAAGTCTAAGTTGACGGAGTGGGCATATTTGTGTTGACTTGCTCAATTCGAGCGAGATGAGATACTAGCACCGATTCCTCACGATTCGCATCGAACTACTTTGTGGGTGGATCAATCATCTACGTCCTGACCAAACTAATCTAGATAAGCTAGTAACACCACTTGTATTCGATTGAATATAAAACTAATTGAACCGGATGATTTTCTGATCTCGACAAACCTAAGATGGATACTATATAAATTTATCATCATTCATCAACAGAGATCCAATAAATGGTTGTCTTGGCTATGCACATCGGTTGGCTGTGCTTCTAAAACTTACTTTGAGGAAGGGTCTTATGAGGTTGCGTAAAACGAGGTGTTATAGGCCTCAATGTGAGGACTCTAACACCAACACTGTCTCCCAAGTGTAGATCCTAGAAGCCAGCAGAGGTAAGAAGTCAGGGTCTTTGCCTAATTTCTATCAATCACTTGATTGATGAGATGGCAGTGGTGGCAAACTAAGTCCTCTATGGGATGCTTCCTTTTTCAATCAGTGATAAGAGACATAGCTACATTGACGGTAGTCTGTGGCATGTGATTGTTACATAAGTAGTGACATTGTATTGGGTGGGACTCTCTAGTATGATGTTTAGAGGTGGAGTAGAGGGGGTCACGGAGGGTGATATTGCAACTGGAGGAGTAAAAAGTCTAAGTTTGATTGTAGCAAGGTATCTTTATGGAGAACTTCATGTATTGTTTCTTTGCCATGATTGTTTCTTCTAGCTAGGGCAATCCCTGACATTTGCAGAAATAGGCAAAGGTAGTGGCGACAATAGTTTGCTAACGAAAGTTGTGCCTCCATCAACAACCAATTCAAGGAGGAGAGAAGTGGGATGGTTTGGTTTAAAGCTTAGCAAGAAGGTCGAGTGTCTGAGCTTGGTTGCTTTGTGAAGAGGGAAAGACTGTCATCCGAAAATAAAAATGAAGAACAAGAGAGAGAGAGAGAGAGAGAGAAAAGAAGAAGAAGTCAAATAATGGAACTGAGATGACACATTGATATTTTCAAGTGGTTCGGTTGGTCTGCCTATGTCCACTACATGGAATGGTGAAAGTGGTTCTCATGAAGTAAACCATGAAGGGGATTATAAGTTACTTGTTCTTTTACTTCATTTACAATATGGCGGTCTTTGCAAGGGCCTAATTTTAATCTCAAAATATTTCAGGAACTAGCTATTTGTGGACATTATATGATCTTTCAACAAAGCGCAATGTTATGTAATGTTTAGTGGGACATGTGACAAGCTGGAGAGCTGCCGAGCACCATATGGCAAGTATCAGATGATATTATTTTGCTCGTGATTATTCCTGAGATTTATCTTAATTCATGTCAGAGTTGATATGAAGTTTAAAGAATATTTGTGGCATTGTTGTTGATTTAAAGAGTGAAGTGGAATCTCTTGAGTTGGTGAGATGATTAGTGATAATCATTTTGATGTTAAGCTCAAGTGTAGAATATTTAGAGATTCAAGAAAGGAGCTCAATTGGAGGTGATTGGAGTGTCTAGGATAATGAAGTGGGCGTAGCAGTATTGAGTTATTCATTTAGAGAGAGATGAGATATTATCCCGATTTCCCATGATTGTCATCGAACCAGATTGTTTGTGGATCAACCATTTACATCTAGACTAAACTTATCTAGATAACCTAGCAGCTTTACTTGTATTTTCTCGAATTTAAAACTAATTGAATCAGATGGATTTTTTTATCTTAACATACCTAAGATGGATACTATTTAAGTTTGTCATCATTTATCAACAGAGATCCCATAAATTACTTTTTTGGCTATGCACATTGGCTGGCCATGTTTCTAAATCCTTGAGCAAGAGTCTGGTGAGGTGCATAAAACGAGGTGTTTTAGGCCTTCTTGTGAGGTCTATGTTAACATTCAAGGAATTGTCACGACTTAAAGTTTCTCTTGAATTATAACTTTCAAGTGTTGAACCTTTTGAAATGCAGACTACCGTTGGGTTTGCAATTTTCGCATTAAAAAATAACAAAATAATTTTCAGGGTCATAAAATTCCTCATAAATCGAGCATAATTTTTGGCATCAAAATCATGAATCTCAAAGCACTTGAAAACTGAATTATTTGTGTTATTGTTTAAAGCACCAAAACAGACTTTGAATTGGATGAATTTCACAAACAAAATGTGTGCCTCATTGCGAAGTTTCCAATGACAACAAAAACATCTAATTTTGAACACATTCATACCTTAAGCCAGCCAACGTCAAGATGGGTCCCTCTAAAGACCAGAATCAGTTCCCTTTTATCCTTCCTCAAGTCACATGATCTATACAACCTAAGGAGGTGGATGTGGCTAGCCGTCATAACTGCTCGTAGGGGCAGGCTTGCTTGCGCCCTACCATGCTCTAACCTTGAGTAACCATTCCTATCATAAGATTGTGTTAAAATGCATCAAATTATTAATTTCTGCTTTTATGGGAGACAGAATATAGTGTTGTTTACGGTGTTGAATTGCTTATAGGGAAATAAATATTTACACATAAAAATGACTTAGCTATTATCGACATTTTTAGTGGCCTAAAGCTAATCTTGATATTTATAATTATTGCAAATCCTAAGTTTCTAATTCAAAACTTATTCATTGACCTTAATTAACCTTAGACAGATTCGCCTTGTGACCCATAAAACGTCAAAATCTATTTTGTTGAAAACAAAATTCCGAGCATAAGTCTTGGTACTTATGCTTCTTATAGGCTTCTAATTCTCAGACTTCTTGTGATGAAAATAATAAGCATAAATGAAAATCTTAATTGAATTCCACTTCACCATTGTTCTTTGTTGATTATGACTGTTGAGCTTCTGTGTTTTATATGCAGACGATGATTTCAGGGAGCTTGTGGATGATCTCCCCGGTGGCTGTCGACTGACTATAGTCTCTGACTCATGTCACAGTGGCGGCCTGATCGAGAACACCAAGGAACAAATAGGCGAGAGCACCAGACCCAATGAAGAAGAAGAAACCAGCTCCAATTTCAGCTTCTCATCTTTCTTAAAGCACACCATGCACAGTGCTCTCGAATCACGTGGCATCGACATTCCTTTCGAAGGCCATAGCCACCATCAAGGGCACTATCATTCCGACGAGGAAGAAGCCATTCAAACCGAGTTTACCGGTCGCGGCCACTCTATCAAGAGCCGTTCCCTACCACTCTCCACTCTCATCGAAATCCTGAAGGAGAAGACAGGTAAGGAAGATATTGATGTTGGAAACATAAGACCGACCCTCTTTGACATGTTTGGCGAGGATGCAAGCCCAAAGGTGAAGAAATTCATGAATTTCCTCCTGCAAAAGTTTGATCTTCATGGGGGCGACGAGGGGGGATTCGTGGGCATGGTAGGGGCTCTTGCAGTAGGCTTTCTCAAGCAGAAGTTGGCGGAGAATGATGAGAGCTACGTCAAGCCGGCATTGGAAACCGGAGTTGATAGCAAAGAGGAAGTTTATGCAGGAACGAAGAAGAGGGAGCTGCCTCAGAATGGGATACTGATCAGTGGGTGTCAATCTGATCAGACCTCTGCTGATGCCAATCCTACTGGGAACCCAGAAGGAGCTTATGGGGCTCTCAGCAATGCAATTCAGACCATACTGGCAGAGTCCGACGGCGATGTCGGTAACCGGAAGCTTGTCTTGACAGCACGGGAGGTACTGGCAAAGCAGGGATTCAAGCAGAGACCTGGACTTTACTGTGTTGATGATTTTGCTGATGAACCCTTTGTCTGCTGAGATAGAGTTTGGAGAAGCTTTACTTCTGACTACAACGAGTTTGGCTGTGTGACTTGTTTTTTGTGTGGAGTTTGTGCTTGATGTTTGAGGAAAGTATTTGTGAATCTCTCTCTATGAAACGGCTGTTTTATGAATCAAAATGTTAAGAATTTTTTATAGTGATGGTTATAATTTAATTAGTAAACTGCAATAATTTTGTTGTGGTGTAGGAAGTGAACCACTTAAGTACATTATTGTTTGAAGGTTTCTTTGTGGTGTTGTAAGATAGTCTTATCAATAATTTAATGAGGTTGGGATTTAGATTTGAACTACTATTCTTTCCGTTTACCTAATTCTTTCTCTTTCTTTTGATCCTCTTTCTTTTGAAATCCTATGTCACTTACAGGATTTGAACCTGCCTTTGATGAATGTTGTCCAATGGTTCTTCATTCACTTCCTCCATGGAAGGTGACAACGAGTGAGCTAAGTTTGTTTTGTTCTTCCTTCTCGAGCTTCTATTTCTTCAGTGAAAGGAGATTTGAGAAAAGATGGAATAGGAAGACGTGTTTCCAGAATGTGTATAGCGTTAGCATATGTTTTGAAAATTTATTTTTCTTGCTTCGAAGTATAAAACTGACATCTAAATTTAAGAATGCACAAGTTTGATAAATCTATCTTTTATCTTTAGCATTAAGGTGTCATTTTAATCAACATATACTCCCTCGAGCAGCCAAGGTAGTGCAAGTTTTTGGGTTCTGTTTTTCTACTACATATAATAGGTTTCACTCTGTTAGAGTAAAAAAAAACCTTTTTTATGGAATCACTTTCTATTTTTTTTATTTTTCTTTTTAGTTTGATTTATTTTTTTATATATATTTTAACATAAATCTAACATGTAGGACAGCCTTATGAATTTTCTAATTTAAAAAAGCAATAAATAGAAGTCATGTTTGAGATTTTTATGAATTTCTTAGTTCTTAACCAAAAAGAAAAATTATGTTTGGTTTTATCATTTTTTTTAATTTATTTATATATTCATAATGTTTTTTATTTATTTAAACTGGTCATCTATTGTATATCATAACATTGAGACATGTAAAAATATAAAAAAGAAAATATTTTGTGTATATAAGAATATTTGATGGCATGATATTAGAGTGGTATACATTTATGAAAAAAAAAAATCATCAAATTTATTTATAGGATATTAAAACTATATTACTAACTCGTGTATTAAGGGACCCACAACCCTTATAATTTTGGAAGATTTTTTATTTACTTGATCGAATATAATATTAAGAATAATATACTATATCAAAATATGGAATTATCATTGTATAGTGGATTCAATCGCTAAATAAGAGTTTTCATTTTTTTTTTTTGATCTATTTGACTTTGAGATTTTTCCCTCAACATAATTTGAGTAACTATATAAGAGTTTTCATATTTTTTTGGATCTACGTGACTTTGAGATTTTTCCCTCAACATAATTTGAGTAAGGTAGGGTTTATTTTATTTTTGGGCATAAATTTTTTTATTGAGGTGAGATTTTATAGTTAATTATATTCTAAAAAAATTCATTTCCTAAAAATGCTCTTGATTAAAGTAGTTGGTCTTGTGTTTTCATAGATTTTGACATTTAAGTTTTCAAGGTTGCTATTTTAAAAATTTAACTGAGATAGGATCAAATTTCAAATGCTTATTATGCTACAAAGGAGAATAGTAGAAAATAATAGATACTAACAACAAAATAGTGATTTAGACTATTTTATGATTGGCTTTTACATTTTGAAAATTAAAATTTATTTTGTATTTGAGTTATTCATTTATTAGAAATTTAATAATTATATTCCAACAATACATTATCGTGAAAATGCATAGAAGAAGGGAACTTATCTTATAGTTAGAAAAAACTAAGTACCTAAGAGCCTAAGTTAATGTCATAACTATCGATATAGGTAATAAACTCAAACCTAGTTTAACAAAGATAAAGTGGGACTTATAAGCCTCACTTCCATCAAGATGCGAAAGTTGCCCAAATTTTCTAGACTTATTGCCCTACCTAAAAAAAGTAGTCAATTAACCTACCTACAACTAATGTCCACACTATAAATACGAGTAATAAACTCAAACCTAGTTTAAAAAATATAAATTGAGACTTATAAACCTCACTCCCATCAAGGAGAGAAAGCTGGCCGAAATTTTCTTGACTTATTACCCTACCTAAAAAGAGTAGCCACTTAACCTACCTACAATTCATGATCATATGCACAGAAAGTTGAACCTAAAATCTATAAAAAAGCCTAACAGGTGGACTAACTGACCCCTGACAAATGCTTCAATGCTCAGGTGGCTTACGCAAGTGCACAGTCAAAGTGGTATCAGATTTTTGTAGTCTGGAATGTCGATCCCACAGAGAATGAGGTTATCAAATTTTAGGAAAATGTTCTAGCCTACTTAATTCATCCTTAATTTTGAATTTAAAGTATTTAATTTGTGTTAACAGTTTCTACTGTAGTGTAAATAAGTTTATAATTTACTCCTACAGAAGTTCCAATTATTCTAGTTGAATTGGTGATAATCAGTTGATAAAGCTACTTTCCCACGCAGTGATAATAGTGGAGTCTAGAAAATGAGAAAATGTAAATTAAAATGTGGCTAGTGCAAATAGGAGCAATTCTCTTATTTACCCTCCCCAAGTGCATAAATAAGTTTGGTTAAAGTAGTCATAATTCCTTAAGCCCCACTTTGAACCCATCAAAAATTATTTCCCTAACATTTGCATCTCCTTATAGTGTACTTTTACTTCATACCCTATACTTCAAAGTGATCTTCCTAGTTGCTCATGCCATAGCTCTTTCAAAACATTATGGGTTCACAATAAATTTTAACAAATCATTTGGCCCGAATGATAAATAAATGAATTACATGAGCTAAATCATCATAATAAAATATTAAAGATAATTTAAAATCATTTTCACATTCCTACAAATCACACTACATCACCATAAGAATAAGATAGAGAAAACACCACAAAACTTCATTAAAATCAAGTGAATTCACTTATCAAAGTATTTACAGAAAATATAATGCTTTAAACACAAGAATACTTATATCTCTCCCTCAATACAACATTGAGAATGCTCCACCAAAGCCCTTACTGCTCTTCTGTAGACTCTCCTCACTTTAACGCTCAGATCTTCATCAATTCTCTACACTAGACTCGCTCTCTCTACCCTAGAGAAAGCCTTCTACTCTAAAGATAACTCATCTAAAATCGGTAGCACTTCCAAATCCTTCCTCCCTTTTAAAAGTTTTCTATTCTTCTTTTTAATAACCTTCAAAATACTCTGTTTATATTTCCTCCAGTCCGCTCAAATGACACTTCGAACAGGTGGGTCGAACTGCTGTAACTACCCCAAGCAGTTTCTATCTCCTAAACGCCAATCTCTCAGGAACAAGAATTTAGCCTGAGCACCTAAGAGCCCAAATAATCTGGCGCCAAGGCCCTGGCCTTCACATCTGGGGTCTTGGTGCCCAGTGGTCGACGCTTAGGCTTCAACCTATGGGTTTCAAATATTTACTACCATTTAAAATTCTTCTAGTCTGATTTTTAATAACCTTCAAAATACTTTGTTTATATTGCCTTTAGTCCGCCTAAATGACCCTTCAAAAGGTCGAACTGTTGTAACTGCCCCAAGCAGTTTCTGGCTCCTAGATGCCAATCTCTCAAGAACAAGAATTTAACTTGAGCACCTAGGAGCCCAATTAATCTGGCTCCAAGGCCCTGACCTTGACATCTTGGGTCTTGGTTCCCAGTGGCGGACACTTAGGCTTCAAACTATCAGTATGCATGAGTTGGGGTTGGCACCTAAGTGCCCCAAAGTCTAGCACCAAGGCCTAAGCCCACTATATTTTCTTTTTGCTCCAACTCCTCTCCTTTTCGCTCCATGTCTCTTCCAATTTGCTCCACTCTTAATACTTTTTATACCTGTAAGAAAAACATAAAAACTCTTTTCTTTAAACTGCAATTTCAACGATAAAGTTGTGAAAAACAAAAAGGAATTCATGCAATTTTTTCACACATCACTAAACAAGGCACTGAGAATTATTTACCCTATCAAGATGACCATAGCTTTCCACTATCCCAAGAAAATTGGTACCCGTCAACTATAAACAGCCTCATATTCAGGAATCCCCCTTAAATTTCATAACTCAAGGTATTCGTAGTCTCGATCAGTTTTGAACTACCTTCGTTAGTAAATATGAGATACATTCTTCTAAGGTATTTCCTTTAATCTCACGGGGTAGGTTTGGGTTGACCTGAGTTGAGTTTAGGTTGGGATCTAGGTTGGGTTAGGTCTAGGTTGGATCAGACTTGGGTTAAGGTATAAGATTTGGGTTAGGTTGGGCTATACATGAGCTTGGTTTGAGGCTAGGTTGGGTCAGGCCTGAGTTGGGTTTTAAGGTTTGGGTTAGGTTGGGCTAACCTGGGCTGAGGTGGGTCTAGGTTGAGTTCGGTCGGACCTAGTTTAAATTTGAGGGTTTGGATTAGGTTGGGTTGGACCTCAGCTCGGTTGGGTCAAGTTTGGGTTGGTTCAGACTTGGGTTTTGTTTTAGGGTTTGGGTTAGACATGAGACCTGGGTTATGTTTTGGGGTTTGCATTATGTTGAACTAGATCTGAGCTGGGTCGGGTCTAGGTTGGCTCAGACTTGGGTTAAGTTTTAGAGTTTGGGTTAAACCTTTTTATGGATTAGGATTAGATCAAGTTCAGATTGAACTGAGTTGAACCCAAACTCTAAAACTTAACCAAAGTCTGAGCCAACTTGAGTTGACCTAAATTAGATTTTCTTAACGGTGGCTAACCGGAGGCGTGAGCCAAAGAAGGCACTCCAAGAAGAAGGCTTCACACCTCCGCAACAAGCGTGCAGAGCTCCAATCACTAGTCCAAAGAGGGACAAACAACCACCTTTTATAGGTGACGTCTGTTGTTCTGAGTCGTCATTCAGACGAGAGATTGACTGTCTGGATTACTCCAGTGGTTGTCGCGATCGTCAATGTTTGTTGGATATTTTCAGCTTTCCAACAAAGTGGACGGTCAAGATGAGGATCCGTGGACAAAGGCAATTGATCAATGACACAAAATTGGTGGTGTGGCCTCACATAGGTGTTGTCACGTCACATCAAGTGTGACTGGCGTGACCATGCCAGACCAAAAGTGTCATATAGTTGTTATGAAAGGTTCAGAGGTGTTAGGACCCTTTTGAAAGCTCCAT